CTGACACCAGTTATGATACCAATATTATATTTAGCAGTATGAGTGGTTGAATTTCTCGCCAAATCCAAAGATCCATCTTAAATTTGATTAGTTCGTTCATAGATCATGGCCTCATTAGTATCTCCAGTAATATACAGAAATACCCTTACCAATTCCTTTTGACGTCTTACACTGTATAGTGTTAGCGAATAGTTCGGTCAAAAGTCAAATCGTAATTTTGCAGTGATCTATGACAATGTAGAAGGACTGGGATTCCTTATTTGAAGTGTGCATAACTTAAATTGTTGTTATCATTCATTGTCATGTCTAATTAAGTTCATCTTTGCAGTTCAATTCGTATACAAGAAAAAGTTAGCGTTCAGTTTGTCCTATGATAATGAAATTCTCCCTTAGCATAGTTCGCGTCGTTATTAGTGTAATCAATAAGTACTAGTTATGCTTAGTAGTTTGCTAGTTAACAAACAATTGTGTATCTGCAGGCAGTGTCCAACACCAAAGGAAATCATGAATTGGGTTAACGCTGGTGCTGGGAACCTTGAGCGACTAATCTGGTATACATTCTCAGAAATTTGGCTTTCTAGATGAATTCTGAAAAGAATGCAAAAACCTATTTTATATCGTTTCCTATAACTTTCTACTGAATTCCCGAACTGCATTCCTCTGAAGTTTCCCGTTAGCTTTCCCACAAAGTTGAGAGTATGTAAAATATTCATGAATATTGTTGAGTTCTTCATTAGGTCTAACATGCGGTTCCATTTTCCTGGTTTTATCGAGTCCGCGTATTTACTACTTATGGCATGTAGAGAAACGTTTGCAGATACACAAACCTTCATCAAAGGTAGCATCTCACTGTGGAGCCAAGCCTCCACAGTTATTTGGTGAACATCACCTAGGCTAGCCATAGGTATGTATTAAACTTAAAGATAATCAAGAACGACATATTTAAAGAAACATTTGGTGGAATTTAGACGTACTTACCTTTTATTGTTAACGCACGGTGTGAGTTGCGTAATATATACTTGTTTTTAGTGCTAAACCATAATTACTGGTCAAAAATATGACGTAAAACTTTTTGATAAGCCGCTATACATCTCTAGTGATTTCGTAGTATATTTTGGCGTACCATTAAAAGTCACCTAGGACTAATAATTTTATATTTGTTAGTGGATTCATCGTTAGAAAGTTTATGCTCTGAAGCCGTATACATCAATACGCTCAGAATAGTCGAGTTGTTAACCGAACTCTCCCAAACCCAGGTATTCTCAACTCGTGTTTTTACTTTATCATGAAGGAGTTTTGTTATTTTGGAATTGCTAAGTATCGACTCCTTGAAATAGTCTATCAAATACGTTGTGAATTTAAATATACCCACTTGTTAGTTTTTGTAATTCCACCTGATCTTTGAACCGGTATTATCGTGGCTACGACTTAGCGATTTACTGTAAAAGATAATGTTTACGTTCATGGCTGTGTTGATTGTTGCGATGATGTTTGTATCAAAAATTAAAGATCTAGAATGTCTAAACATTGCGTATATACTGCTACATCACGATGAGGGAACGCTTGTTCTTTAATGAAGCTGATTCGATATGAAAAGTACGGAAAATAAACTTTGTTTGATTACAAATAACTTTACTATAATGACGTCCGAATTAAAAATCACTTTTTTTATACTAATCGACGGATATTTATCGTTAGTGTGATCTAGGTGACAATTACTTTTGATTGCATCCAAGATATTGACTTCGATCGTGACTACGAAATCCATAGAAGACTGATCCTCAGGAGGCAGGTGGCCTTCGACCAGGTCATGGACGCATTGATCACATCGTCGCCCTCTGAAAACTGTTAGTGCACTGACACACTTGGTACAGACGTGTTTCTTGATACCAAAACCGTTTTCAATTCGTTGGGCAGCTCTGCACCTTGGGATTGTCTGTTGAATAACGTAGTAACTAAGGAGCTTGTTAACATCGTAAAGGTTCTGTACACACTTTAGCATGGAAAAAGTTTACAGTCACCTTTCTCCGTTATTCTGATCTAGCAGGGTTGCCCACACTTACCATTCTTCAACTTCGATATCGGCGACATTCTAAGAACAGTCCTTAGCATGGATTTCCAGGTACTATTATTACCTGCTTTTCGTACTGAGGTTTGGTTGCCGATGCCCCCAAATGCCCTGGTACGGCCAAAAGTTGGGAGAGTCCGCTCACCCTCTCGAAATGCTCTCACATGGCCACGCGTATATAGCCTCTGCCAGGAAAGTCCTACTCATTGCCTTCTCGTGGCCGGGGTGTTGTTTACGAAATTGAGATGACGAAAAGCGAATGTCCGGCGCTTTAACCGGGTTGGTGGACATGGAAAGTTCACGTAAGGGAGTTGGAAAACCCTAATTCCAAACTAATGGTGCTCATGGGCTCCAGTACCCTGAGGGAACAAATGGCGTATGAACCAATTATTGGTCACCGGCTACCATGGGACTGCATCTCCTTACGACGCTCCATTGCCTTGTGGATCAGAACTTCAGGTCGAAGGCTCCGGGTGTGGCTCCTTAAGAAAACCATCTGCTTCAGTTTGAGCACCCGGGCAGTATCACAGCCCTCACACATATCAAATGAGATGTGTGGTGCATATTCATTTGGTGCCCCTTTGTACCTATATCTATGTAATATTTGCAAATTAGAAAGGTCATTCAATAAAGGTCAGTAAATTGTTCAGTTACAATAAGATAATAGTACTATTGCAAAATTGAAAATAATTTTGTCAACTGAGATAATGATAACATTGTTGTGTGAATATAATGTGTAATAAGGGGGGGTGTTATCAAGGTAATTACGGTCAACAAATTGGGAATGATGGATATGAAGATTAACATATAGATAATGACAAATAATGATAATAAGGAAAATAAATAAAATAAAGGAAGGGGTAAGAGGTTTATAATATTCAGTCTAGGTATTCGGTGACCCAGTCGTAGGCCAGGGTAAACATAGAGGCTGGATATATTTTTTCTGGATGGATAAATTAGGTCTTCTGGAGTCGATCCAGATGGTTTCGGCTGTGTAAAGCAGTCGTAATCTAGCTCCTTGAGGTAGATATTTTGGAACTTGATATAAAACAGAGAAAGCTTCCTCTATTTTGATATGATGTTCACTATCTACCAAGTGAGAAAGAATGGTGCTGTTAATCGATTTGGTGACTCCTTTTCCCAACCATGCTGGTACATGTTCACGAACACGTAAGGATAAAGCCCTCTGAGTACGGCCTATGTAACTAGCTCCACAGGAGCAGTTGAATTGGTATACACACATGGAGGAGCCCATCTTCGGTAACTTATCCTTGATTAGTTGTGTGAGTACTGGTTTAGTCGAGAAAGTTATGTGCAACTTGGCGGCATGAAACGTCCTCTCGACAGATCTTTTGAGTCGACGTGTTAGAATATCACCCGCTATGTCGCCTTTAAAGTCAAGTTTCAGATATAAGGTCTTTTTACTGACTGTGTCGCAATGCCTTCTCTTTTTAATACTTTGTACGAGGTATTTTTTGACGAAATTATCAGGATAGCCATTATTACGTAATGTGTTCGTTAGTATAACTATTTCTTCCTCCACACTGTCGTCAGAACATAATAACTTGATTCTGTGGTTGAGACACTTAACCAAATTTATTTTATATTGCAGAGGTGTGAAGCTTTGGAAATGGGTATACTGACCCGTCCATGTACACGTTCTAAACATATTTCGCTCTATGGAACCATCTATATGTGACGAAAATATCGACAAACAGGAGATGTTAGACGCTTTTAATAATGTCCACCCACCCATTAAATTCACCAGCGAGGAGGAGAAGGACAATAGCATAGCTTTTCTAGATGTCCGACTCTCTAGAAGGATAGATGGTTCCATAAAGCGAAATATGTTTAGAAAGTGTACATGGACGGGTCAGTATACCCATTTCCAAAGCTTCACACCTCTGCAATATAAAATAAATTTGGTTAAGTGTCTCAACCACAGAATCAAGTTATTATGTTCTGACGACAGTGTGGAGGAAGAAATAGTTATACTAACGAACACATTACGTAATAATGGCTATCCTGATAATTTCGTCAAAAAATACCTCGTACAAAGTATTAAAAAGAGAAGGCATTGCGACACAGTCAGTAAAAAGACCTTATATCTGAAACTTGACTTTAAAGGCGACATAGCGGGTGATATTCTAACACGTCGACTCAAAAGATCTGTCGAGAGGACGTTTCATGCCGCCAAGTTGCACATAACTTTCTCGACTAAACCAGTACTCACACAACTAATCAAGGATAAGTTACCGAAGATGGGCTCCTCCATGTGTGTATACCAATTCAACTGCTCCTGTGGAGCTAGTTACATAGGCCGTACTCAGAGGGCTTTATCCTTACGTGTTCGTGAACATGTACCAGCATGGTTGGGAAAAGGAGTCACCAAATCGATTAACAGCACCATTCTTTCTCACTTGGTAGATAGTGAACATCATATCAAAATAGAGGAAGCTTTCTCTGTTTTATATCAAGTTCCAAAATATCTACCTCAAGGAGCTAGATTACGACTGCTTTACACAGCCGAAACCATCTGGATCGACTCCAGAAGACCTAATTTATCCATCCAGAAAAAATATATCCAGCCTCTATGTTTACCCTGGCCTACGACTGGGTCACCGAATACCTAGACTGAATATTATAAACCTCTTACCCCTTCCTTTATTTTATTTATTTTCCTTATTATCATTATTTGTCATTATCTATATGTTAATCTTCATATCCATCATTCCCAATTTGTTGACCGTAATTACCTTGATAACACACCCCCCCCTTATTACACATTATATTCACACAACAATGTTATCATTATCTCAGTTGACAAAATTATTTTCAATTTTGCAATAGTACTATTATCTTATTGTAACTGAACAATTTACTGACCTTTATTGAATGACCTTTCTAATTTACAAATATTACAATTTTTTCTTTTTGAAGTATATATATATATCGTAACAGATGCAAACGTTCACCATTTTTAACACATAACATTGTCAAACTCATTGAAACATGCCTTATTTTTGGCCTTTGTAAAATGTTATAATTATGGACTTATAACTGTAGAGCCTGATGATGAAGTTATTGAAAACAATTGTTCGCTCAAATATTCTTCGTTTTTGAATATTCTATGGGGATTTTTAAACTGCCAATATCTATGTGTTAAAATAAAACAAATTAAATAGTTTACCGATTCCATCGTAGTGCACATGAAACAAGACTTGCAGATGTAGTTACCAATCCTTAGATTTGTTCAGAAATATCAGGAACCCATCACAAATAACTCTCAACAGTCAAGTTTTTTCAACGCTGGTAAATCTGTTCAAAGTTTGTCGTAGTGGCGTTGGAAGATGAAAGCTTCATGACTAAACCAAATGACTCAGAGAACGAAACCTCGCCAAGGTGAATAGTATCGTAAACCTGTTTGGTATGTTCGATAACATCCAAATGTCGACTTGTATACCAGACATCACTATAATAGCTGACGGTGGACTAAGTTATATTAAAATGATTCTGGTAAGAATTTTTGACGTTTAGACTGTTTGAAAACCCTAGGCCACTGTTCAATAAGCCGTTTCATCGTTCATGGTGGACCATGCACGAGAAAATGTTAATTCTGCTTTGTACTTGTGAAATTAGATTATTGCTGTTATCATTTTAAATCATGATTTTGTCCTTTCGCTTTTACAAACAGATGTTTACATAAATGGTGCGACCGTAGAGTCTAGTACTATGTCATTTCTCCAGGGGTTATTCTAGCCTTCATACAGACCAATTTCTTATTCCTGAGTCACAGTTTGACCTTGTTAACTGTTCCCCCATAACCTTGACTGTTTTCATTTAAGCATGCGTGTATCGCTTGCTCTATTCATCACATGTCTTTAGATTGTTTTTGTCTGAATAAAAATGGGGAGTTACACCCATCAAATCGAGTTGGCACGCTTGTCTTCGCTTCGCATTCTTGCTTCTCATTTTGATATCTGCTTGAGATAAATTCATCCACCTTAATCCGTATTTGGCTTCTTATTACCACCGTCGCAGAAACGGGGTTAGCGTATGTCTAATATATATGGAATTAAACGGAAGATTTACACTCATGACAAGTTCATTAATTCAAATTGATGCCAAGTCAACAGGCCACTAAATGATCATCAAAATTAGTATGGAAAAAGTCTAGTTCTTTCCGGTAGAGTAAGGTTTTCAGCGTTAAATTGATCTAATATAAATCTAAGTCTATACTGTTTTCTCTAACCAATCTTTACTTGAATAGTATGGAAGAACTGTAATCTAGACTTCTGTAAAACACTTATTAGTGTACGTCCTAGTTCTGTATCTTTATCTAAATAGTTTTATGATTGTTTAGTTTTTTAGTAAATTAGTGATCAGTATGCATCAGCTTACTTTTCTTTAATAACGAGAAATTCAGTTTATCACATACTATTTTGTGGACTTAAATAGCCTACCATTACTATATAAAGTTAGATAGTCCTGAGATTCGCCTATATGTTCCGATAGTTTGACTGCTAATTTGATATTTCATTTTGCATTCTACCTATTTTTAGTGAGTGCTAATTTTATTCTGAGATCTCAAAAATTAAATTCATTACTACTGTTTCCTTACCTTTTAGATGATGAATTCGTTGTTCCTCACATGGATTTATCTTGTTTGCAAAATTCAATAGCATATCAGAAAGTTCTTGAAGAACCTTGGACTTACCTTCACAATTGGGATTCTCTAACTCCCAGTGTTCAACAAGAGGTGGCACAAAACTTCCTAAGTGAACTAAGCTCACTTAAAACTGAAATGGCGGTTACCCAAGGTGTATTTGATCCTTCCATGTTTGTGAATCAGGATGCTCCATGTGATACAACAGTATGTTTTGATGACAAACTTTTATTTTAAACTATCTCAAATATTTGTTTTAACTGAAATAAAAAACGATTTTAAAATTATAGGTTCGATAAGGCCTTCATGTCTTTATAAGCGGTCACCTAACTAAAACTGGTGAACTGCAAACACGAGGAAATCAGGCTGACTTCAAACCCGGTCGTGGCTGCATCGATCACATATTCACCATTCGCCAGATCTTAGAACACAGACATGCTTATCGGCGTCCGACAATGAAAGTTTATCTTGACTTAAAAGCAGCATTTGACTCTGTAGACCGAGAGGTTCTGTGTCAGTGTCTGTCATTGAAAAGCGTTCCTCAAAAGTACATAAACCTTGTGAAGGCTCTTTACTCGAACACTACCAGTCGGGTCAGTGCTTATGGAAAGTTTTCATCTGATTTTTCAACCTCGAGTGTTGTCCGTCGAGGCAGTCCACTATCTCCATTTCTGTTCAATTTCATCATAGACTTAATACTGGAAATAACGTTCTCGTTGACTTAATTTTTGGGGATTGACCTCCTACGAGGAGGGCTACTTATTGACTTAGAATACACAAATGACATAGTGCTGTTTGGTGAAGACGTGGATAAAATGCAGAGTATTTTGGTAGCACTGAGCAACAATGTCAGGATGTTTGGGATGTGTTTCTCCCCCTCTAAATGCAAGTTGTTGCTTCAGCGCTGACTTGGGTCAACACCTGAACTGTGGATAGGGAGTGAAGTTGTCGACGTGTTCGACTACTTCACTTATCTTGGAAATCTGATCAGCCCTAATGGGTTGGTGTCAGACGAAATCTGATCACGGATTCGAAATGGTCGTTTGGCTTATGCCAACTTACGTCACCTATGGCGAAGGCGAGATATCCGTCTATCAATTAAGGGACGACTATACAGAGCAGCAGTTGGTTCTGTTTTATTTTGTGACTGCAAGACGTGGCCAGTAGGGATAGAGAGAGGGTACTTGTAGGTTACTAGTATTTGATTCCATATGTTTCAGAAAGATTTCCAGCACTACTGGGATCACTGGGTAATAGTGAGTAATAATGAGGTTAGACTCAGAGTATTAGGGAATGATGGTAAATCAGTTGATGAGTTTGTGAATCTTCATCGACTGAGATGGTTGGACCACGTGTTGCGTATGCCTGAACACCGTTTACCACGACGCGCGATGCTAACCGGTGTTGGGGGTGGTTGGAAGAAAGTTAGGGGTGACCAAGCCAAAACGTGGCATCAGTTCTTTGAGTCACAAACTTCTAGTTTGAGCCATGTTGTTAGATGCAGACTGCTTTGTTGGGATCCGTGTGACTATTGTAACTAGTGTTTGGATACTGTGGGTGACATGGCTCAGAATCGATCACAGTGGCGTCAGTGTATACACTCTTTGTCTTCCCTTAAACTATGAGATTAAAATCGCTTCATATCTTTCTACGTATTAATTCTTTCTTCCTGTACTATATCCTTATATGCAATCTTTCTTTTATATATTGCCACCATTGAATTAACTACTTCTATGAATTTGGTGTTCATCTTGATGTGCTAATGCGGTATGGCAACTTGGACCGATGTATATATTTGCATGGTCCTACGTTTTAGCTGACTGACAGACTGAGACGGTACACTATTCTTCAGGAAAAATTCTGCCTGCTTATCAAAATTGTAAAGAGCTTAGATCTGTGCAACAAATTACAACATCCTAAAATAAACGTTTACTGGTTATCTAGAAAGATCATATTGAAAAATACACTGATAAGTTTCACAAGGATAAACTTAATATATTCCGAAACATACGGATGCATATCACCCTTACCGATGGTATTCTTTAGCTCAAAATCAACAATTAATTAGAATAGCCGGGATGTTATAACTGTTAGCTAGTTTATTATTTCTAGTTGATGATTTAAGTTCTGACCTAAGTTCGCTTTCATTACTTATTCTTTTTTAAAATATCGTATTCTGCTCTAACACGGAAAGCGTTTATTCTAAGCTATTCCGTATATGTGAATTAAGGTCCGAAAATCTTTGATATTTTCTGTCACACTTAAAGCGTAAAATTCAGAGTCCATTCGAGCTTATTCTTACAAAAGTGGTAAATGAAAGAGATGATCAGTTAATGACAGGTCCCCATAAAATCCGTGATTTTTACGATGTTTTAGTTCTTGGTGGCCGTACATCACATCTGCGTTAATGAAATCCTAGAAATTATACCATTTAGTAACTTGAGTCTTTATGAAAGGTACTCCACAATAAAATCGGCGGTATTCTTAGAATACAATATTGAAACCCATCTTGTGTTCTGGTCTGAGACATGAACTTTGATATTCTAATTATATGACTATCCTATCTTTGTTTTGTATAGAGTATTTTTAATACCTTGTGAGATTTTGTGTTAAAAAACAAATAAAATAGAAGCAGAACTATAAGATGAAGAGCGATGAACCGTAATAAGATCCATAAAGATGGTTGTCCAGTTTTAGAAACTAAGCTGAAGTTTGAGAGCTGGACATAATCCCATCTGACTGGCTTCGATCTCAATCTCTCCAGTTTACAAGAAAGAATAATTCTGTTTTGATAATCATAAAAGAATAATTTTGATTAGTGTAGGATCTAACGTACTCTAATCATCTACCGCTTAACTAGGGCTCATAAAGATCGAACCTGAAACAATCAGGCTACTTTCATACTTGGACATGGATGTATTGATCAAATGCTCCCTCTCCGCCTGATTTTGGAACCCAAGCGTACGTACCGATACCCAACCTTAATTTTATTCCTTGGTCTTGTGGTTTCGTTTTACTCTGTTGGACTAAAGGTTGTATGTCAATGTTCGTTATCGAAAAGTGTATAAAAAAGGCTTGTAAACCTTGTACAGGCTCTCCGCTTGAATACTATTGGCTGAGTCAAAGTTTATGGTAATTTTTCACCAGAATTGTTGACCTCAAGTGCTTTTCAGCATGGTTGCTCACTACCCAACGTTTTATTTAACTTCTCTGTAATGTCCTAGAAATAACTCCATTCACCTAACTTTTGAGAGGTTGACCTTTTGCCACGAGGTTTGCTTATCGACTAAGAATACTCAGGTGATCTAGTCCTATTTGATAAAGACGTAGGCAAAATGCAGCTTTCAGAAATGTTGTGCGTTACCGCTTTAGAGAACGAAGTGGTTTTGTGTGTTGATAACTTTATTTATCTTGAGTTCCATCAACACTGGCGGGTTGGTGTCTGAGTAAATCGGCACACGTATACAAAAAGTCTGACTGCCTTTTGCTAACTTTCTCTTTTTGTGTAGGCAAGATGCCTGTCTACCAACTAAAATGTATGTATACTGTTCTGTGCATCATTTCATAGCTATGAGACATAAAAATCGAAAGTAGAGGGATAAGTAGGCTGAGGACTTTTTATCATAACTGTCTCCCAAGCCTTGGTCACGTTGTGTGGGACTGCCTATTGAGTGATGCTAAGGTTAGGCTTTTAGTATTAGGCAAAGTGGCAGATCAGTTGGTGAGATTGTACATTTTTATCCAATTGGGTGATTATAACATGTTACGTAAGGCGTTGTTTGAGGGCGTAATAGTATGCTGGAAGAAAACTAGGGTCAACCGAACCATCTGTCCATAAAGCCAGAGATTATTGATCTGGGCTGTGTTGTTAGATGTAGTCTACTTGGTTGGGGTCCACGCAGTAACTGTGATTACTGTCTAGAGATTCGACATGAAGAAGCATTCACAACTTATCTTATTCTGGATATTGAATTTCAGTATTCCTTCATACACCTCTGTACCATGTGTTTTCGTTCATCTTAGTTATTTTCATCTTGTGCTAATGTGCTATGGCAACTTGGACCGATTCGCATCTTTGTCTGCCTCTATGTTGATGACTGAATGACCAAGTCAACTTAATCTAGTTCGAGATGCTGCAACCGTCACTAGGTTTATCAACTATCATATTAGGGAATACTGACCTACCTACTGGAATTTTTAAAAAGTAGATAATCAGGTTCAATAACTACAACTATAATAGAAAAATCTAGTTAATGTCTTTTAATCACAGGTTTCATTTATATGCCTTCTTTTAATTCGTTATTTCTTTCAGTCTACTGCAACCTGACACAAGTACTATGCTATTAAGTTTCCATTTTTTTAAACTAGAGCAGTTAGTGGGCAAAATGTGATATTAGTCAGTTTTATCTATATACCCATAGATTCTGATGTAGCTAACAAGGAGACCAGTGGGAACAATCGAATCTATTTAACACAAAATTACAGGACTTGTTAATAAAATCTAACAATCAAATAGTAAATACGTAATTTGCAAAATGTCCACCAATTGTCTCAAAATGATTTAGACTTCATTGTTCTTGCATTTTCATACAGATTGCATTCTGTTTCCATTCTTTACTGTTCGATCGTCTTGTTTCTCTGCTGCCAGACATTCTGTTTACGACTAACATCATCTACTACTTATGTCAATATAAGTAGCACACACCACACTGAGTTAATTTTTTTCTTAATATGAACAAGAATACTCAACTAATAATTTTTACGTTCATTTATCTAGGTTTCTGAACAAAATGGTAATACAACAGAAAATCATACAAACACCAAGTAGTGTTTTGATTATTTTTGTTTCCTGTTGTTCTAAATAAAGTTTACAAAATTATAATCGTGTTTTCTTTTTTTATTTAGTTCTAAAGACTATATAGATTGATTACACAATATATTAGATTTTTTTTAGGTTTCCATTAGAAACTTCAAGTCTTTTCCTACATCTTAATATATTTCAAATGTTATTACTCACTTAAATCCATAGATTTAATTTAATAGGGAACCAAGAAATCGATCGTGCAATCACGATTTGGAGATAAACACGTTGTTTGTAGGTTATAAGTGGGTACAAAGTAGGAACTGAGTACTAGAAATAGTTTATTTAAGCTCTTTCGCCAATACGGCATATCTATACTATTATAATTTATGAAGTATTTTGATGCTATAAGGATGAACTATCAAAGAAGTTTCCGAATTCAACAAATGTTTAAGGGTTTTATGAGCAATCCAATTTTGTTAATAAGAAATTTTGAAAAACTATGTATTAATTTGAACGTGATTTCCATCTAGTTGATTCTCGTATGAACTCATCGTAACTTTTGCTCATTGTAACATTAACTGGTATTAATTACTTCAGTGTGATTTTTTCAATTACTTGACTTTTGTTCAGTATAGTATTCAATTATACTAATTCTGTATGATAATTGTTCATTTTGACTTTCTTTGATTATTAATCATTGAGTGTAATCTGTATACAATGGAATGAATTCAAATATGGATCAATCTTTTTGGATTTCTATCAACAGAACGTCTAACAAGCTTGGACCTATGTCTTTAGTCAGTATTCGGAGAAGGGAACAATCTCCTTCATTGATATCGAAGTCTTTGGAGTACAAGCGTCTCAAAAATTCGAAAATTGATGATAAGAAGCAGTCTACCTATCAACAACCACCACTCTATTACCTTTCAGTCTTCTTCCAGAGAAATTGTTCCAGTTACTAGAAACTGAATGGCTCTCCCCCCCCCAAAGTATTCACAGTGTTTTTGTAAATTCTGTTTTAGTAAGGATTACCAGAAATACTATGGCAACTGAAATATAAATTTGTTGTGGTAGGTGTCTATTTTCAGGAAAGATGGACAGCGATTGGTCTCAGACAAGCTTCATGTGCTCTCGTTTGTATAAGTAAACAGACATCAAAATAGTTTGACTTTTCTCCATAATTAGAGTGTGATATCTATGCATAATTTGTTGTCCTGTACAAGTATTGTATACAACATAATTGCTGAAAAATCACTTTGTGAAATGATAAAACAGGTTGATCACGTGATGCCTTATTTATTTCGACATTTTTTTAATGCTTATGTTGAAAATTACATTGTTTTATTCAAAATTCCTAAGTGCTTTCTGCATAGCTACAAATCATAAATGGACGGAAAATAGTCCAGTAGTATTTAATCCATAGATCAGTTGATTTTATTACTAAGAGAAAAAATATAATGAATTAAATTATTACGCATTTTTATTCAGATGAAACTAATTTATGTAACTATCGATTCAATGAACATATTTTTAGAAGTCAATTGGAGCTATGGTAAACTTTTTTGATATAGCTTGTTGTCGGTTAACATGCTTCAAAACACATCACATTAGATCATGTAAGCAGACTTCCTAGTTTAAGCAACTTAACTGTGTTGTTCATCTAAGTAGTTAAAATCAGACTAGGAATGTGATAATTTCCAAGCTATAAATTTAAACCTAGTTAATGCAATGCGCATGATACATGACAAAAATTACTTCAAATTAAAGCAAACCTGCGCTTTATCCCGTTTCAGCATAGAGTCGTTTAATTTCATGGGTGCCCTTCAACCTGAAGCATTAGAAACTGAATGATATGAATCGGGAAACTGAACAGAACAGGAAATAATATATTTACAGCATAATTAAAACAAACCAAGAATATATGAAGTTCTTTCCAAATGACAGTTAAACAAATCGCTCATTTTTAAGTACTCTATAGTAAATTTCCGGAATTATGTTAAGTGTTTTTCAACCATGTTTATCAGTCGTAATTTTAATGGGAATGAAACCAAACGTCAGGGAAAAAGAATAAACTTGAGTAAGAGATTTTTTATTGCCCCCAAATGCCCTAGGATGGTCGAAAGTGGGGTGGGACCGCCCGCCCTCCCTCTTGAAAGGCTCTCACACGTATACAAGTTTGCCAGGGAAGTCCTACTCACTGCCTTCTCGTGGTGGGGGTGTTGTTTACGAAATTCAGAGAACGAAAAGCGGATGCATGTCGCTTTAACCGGATCACAAACCGATGGTGCACATGGGCTCCAGTACCCTGAGGGAACAAATGGCGTATGAACCAATTGTTGGTCACCGGCTTCCATGGGACTACATCTCCTGACGTCGCCCCACCGCCTTGTGGGTCAGAACTTTAGGTCAAAGGCTCGGGTTTTGGCCCCTTAAGAAAACCACCTGCTTCGGTTTGGGCACCCGGGAGATATCAGCCCACACACAAACAGAAGGAAATGATGATACTTACGGATAATTCTATACTTGCTTCCATTAACGGTCAAACGATCCACATTGTTGTTATTATTATTTACTACGTCATTTATTCACTCTCTTTTATTCCCACTTTATGTATCCTTATTTTTCGACTTATACAGCAGCTCGCTTATGGTGGAAACTCAGTTCTATCTAAACGTTCTCGAGTCACTGCCTGGTTGAAAATTGTATGCTACCACCAAATACGAATACTGAAGCAGTTTTTCTGAAATCACGCGCACCATTCAAACTGGCTGCCTTCAACGTTCGAACTTGAATGCAGGTCGGACAACAGATGGGGCTGGCTATGTCTTTGCAAAGTCTTAATATCGACGTTTGTTGTCTATCCGAGACCCGTATTCAAGACTCTGGTGATGTGCTACAAATTCGCTCTCCATGTATCACTTTGAGAGGCTTGTTTTACGTGCGTTTATGCGGGGACCCTGTGGCATCTTCGTCTAGTCTTGCTTGCGTTGGTGTCGCACTAAGCGCTAGAGCTGAGGCAGCACTAATCGATTGGATCCCCTTTAACAGTTGGTTATGTGGTGTTAGATTAGAAAGTTCCATCAAAGCGAAAAGAAATCGGCGTGAGAAACGATGTCTTTTCGTCATCTTCGCCTATTTCCCGACAGATTGCATGCCGGATGCAATTAAGGATGAATTCTACCACCAGTTAACTGTTCTTCTCCAGAAAGTGCGTTCGACAGATATTGTGGTACTAGCCGGAGACTTGAATGCTCAGGTCGGGCGTCTTCTGTCATACTTCGTAGGTTGTTCAAAACCCGAGAAAGTTTCTACTCAAGAGGAGCAGGCTGGTTTTTGTTCTGGTCGAGGATGTATTGATCATATCTTCACCCTCCGCCAAATGTTAGAACACCGCTATACTTATCAAAGGCCAACAATCGTAGTGTTTCTTGACATCAGGGCTGCCTTCGATTCGTTGGATAGGACTGTTCTCTGGGATTGTCTATTGAACAAGGGTGTGCCTGAGAAGTTTATTAACATCCTAAATGCACTCTTCTGTTTATACGAGTAGATTATCGGATAGATAGATAGATGCATACAGTATACTTTTATTATTAGTAGGATCACTACTTAATCAGTCAGTGATGTAATAATGGACTAAAATTGTCTACATTTACAGATAATTACTTCTGTTGGCATAATCACAAGACATTTATTACGAATAAATCGTAGAATGTTAAGGACGCTTCAGTTATTAGTATTTTGGTAAATCTTTAATACTCACTAAAAACATTCACAATTCTAGTGAAAGAAACTCCAATGAGTTTGTAGACTTAAATGTATGATATTTTAGGGCTTAGTTCGTGGCGGTGATTTGAGTAAACATGGTGTAATTAAGAGAAGATTATAGTAGCAGGTAATATAGTGTAGAGGACTACAACTGATACAGGATGTGTATATAAAGAAGGGATGTGAAAATGGTGTGGTAGCACTGAATTATAATGTCAAGGGAGTAAAATGATTTGTGTGCTTCATACCAGCGATTAAAGGTGTTAGTGAGATTATATGAAATGATATTAAAAGCAAGTAGAAAAGAAAGGGGTTACGAAAAGAAGAGGTGTACATTTCCATAAGCAAAAATGTACGAAATGTAAGTAATATTATTAGACCCAGGACAAGGGAGAGCTGATAACTCCTTTATATATAAAGTTCAAGTATCACCTTATGGGTAAACAAGAGTTCCTTTGTTTTAAGCACGAAGAAATTTATAAAATTCTGTAAGCAACCTTAAAATCAGTAATGTCAAATAGTTGGTTCGTCAGGGTTAATTCAGTGTTCAAAGGCCACATACTTAGCCGATTACCCATCATACTTGTAAAACCAGGTTGAACTGTTTTTTCTAACACGTATCAAAAGCAAACACTAGGAAAGGTTAATGTACCTTGGCCTTTAAAAATAAGGAAATCGGTGGATACAGTTAAAGAGGGACGAACGGAGAAGCTTTTCCTTAGAGAATACCGCAGACAATTTCTGGAGTTTGAAAGTTAGTCAAGACTTTTCTGTGAAACTAGAGGACCATTTGAGAAATGTCGGCATTCTTAAAAAAATAAGTGAATGACAGGTTAAAGCCATGAGTAAAACAAAGGTAAGAAATTTTTTCCGAATTCAGACGTTTATCTTCATCCTATGTATAGCGGTATCTGTGTGCTTTTAAACAGTTGGAAATCAGTTATTCATGAAAGATTTGGACAAATTCAATAAGCAGTCTAAAATTCATTTGTATTGGTTGTTTGGATCGTGCCATCGTTATTTAGAATTGTAATTGGTTAGTCTTTTTGGTACATGTGCCTCCTGTGTGGATTACTTCAATATTGTCATTAAGTCACAAGCACTTTAATGAGAATTTGAAGGTGACTAACAATGAAATTTAAGACGTGCGTTTCGTCCTACTTGGGACTGGTCAGCTGAATGTGGATGCATCCCAGAGTTGATGTTCATTCAAGGACTTCTGTTCACCATCCAACTCTTTAATTTGTTACTTTTGGCCATAATTCAGATGCACAAAACATACTTCTAATCTCTACAAACAGGTAACTCTTAATTACACCAGTTTCTTGATCACTTTTCGTTTCCTAATTTAAGAAAGTGACTTTTTTGAAACCGAATTTTTCCATGCTTAAATTAGTTTTGTCTCAGATTGTATCATTTATAGAAGAATATTGTTTTTCTAACCGAACGAATTTGAATGGTCAATTGAATAAGCAATAAAATCATGCAGCAAATCTCTTAATTTCATTATTGTATTAAGAAAATGGTTTTACTCTGATTTCTACTTTGAATTTTCTCTGAATATTTGTATATAACACATTGGCTACATTTTAAATAAATCATGACCCACTCTTCATGAAATTTAATGGTAAAATTTAATCTTTCAGATTTTACTACGTACTTCAATTATTGAGAACTAAGCTTATAGTTTATTGAATCAGTCACAATAATTATCCCTCTATGTTGTCCACTTCACAATACCTTTTTGGAAAATGTTCTTTAGATTTTTTTGGTCTTTTTATTAGGTACACTTCATCTGCATGTATCATATATATACACATACATACTTATGCAAATTTACATTTTAGAACATATAATATTTAGTTATTATTCACATTATCTTCATTAGAAGTGTGTACATCATGTGTATGTAAACTTGAAACAAACATTTGTGTTTATTTGAGTATACTATCGAAATAACACTAAACTGTTGTCATAGTGTTTTCATTTGTCTACTTTCTTTGCGTGGGTGTTTTAACCTTGATTTAAAGGTCACCCATTTGTTTTATAATGCAAGTGTCCAGTGAAAATAGAACTTAGTGCCATATAGTCCTATTCAACAGTTAGTGTAAATGAAAAAGAACGAAATATAATAAAGTTCTTTTTTCAATATTGTAAAGAAGAAATTAATTTTATCACAAATGGTAATTTTTTCTTAAATGTTTTATAAATCATCGTTTTTTTTAAGGATCAAGCTAATTTAGATGAAGTTCGTGAGGAAACTGAATGGGAACAATGTTCACGTAATCCAGATGTTGCAAGATTTGTGAAAACAAGAAATTTAGTTGAAAGAAATCGACTTCAATCTTTAAGATCTCAATTGGACAAACAATTAGAATGGGAATTAAAACGACTTTCTTTAGAACGACGTGAATTTGCTGATGTCTTAGAAAATTTACGTAAACGTCATGAAAAAGTTGATCGGAGGAATGTTCGAACATTAAAAAATAATCTTAATTCAAATTTTTATATCTGTGAAAGAAATAGAAAACATGATAGATACTTGAACTCTATGAATATGAACGATATTTTACCTAAAGGATTATTTAATTGTACTACTACAAATAATATAAGTAGTACAAATTCATCTTTATCTATTCCAAAAGTAATTTCTTCGCCGGATATAACTAAACTGCTTAACACTCGCAGTAATAATAACAATAATAATAACACTAGCAAACATTTAAATCCTATACCCACAATACATACAGAAACATCAAATTCAACTGAGAAAGTTTCAAAACCAAATATTTATCACTTATTTTATACAGATTCCGGTGAATGGATACATTTAAACAAGCTCAATTTAAATATATCAGCTCCATCGAGTGCATCAAAATCATCGGCTTCATCAAAAGGTATGAAATGTACAAAATCTTGGTCTGAAAATGAATAGATTTAAATAAGATATATGAATGTTTTGATGTGTATACATATTTCGAAGTTGATGATAACTTCATTTTACGAGTTATATATCTAACTGACTATTTGAATATCAAGAATTGCATAAATTTATATCTAAATATACTTTCTTGTTTAGCAAATTGGTATATGTAATTACATAGACCATTATTTATTTTCATTTTCATAGAATTAAAATAAGTGGATAATCCTATGAATATCAGATTTTATCATTTATATACTTGTAGAACTATCAAGAAAAACAAATTATATTAATTAAATCATACAAATAAATTGTGATTGGTTTATTGATTTAATGAAATAACTGAAATCGAATGTATTCCTTTTTTTTAAAAAAATTGTTCCAGAACTTACATATTTTGTTTAACTTTTAAAGTACGAATAGTTTACTTCAAGAATTTTCAAATATATATTTCAGTAAGGCATACCATGTAAGTTTTGATTATCAACCAATTATTGGATAATAGACAGGTCAGTCAGTCAGTTAAAACGTAATACCAGACATATATATATATATATATATATATATATATATATATATATATATATATATATATATATATATATATGAATCGGTTCAAGTTGCCATACCTCATCAACACAACAAAATAAACACCGAATTCATAGAAGTAGTATATAAAAGAAAGATTACATATAAGGACATAGTACAGGAAGAAAGAATTAGTTTATAGAAAGAAAGATGTGAAGCAATTTTAATCTCATAGTTTAAGGGATGACAAAGAGTGTATGCATCTATGCCATTTTGATCGATTCTGAGTCATGTCATCTAGGTACACATAAATCTAAGTAAAGTCTTACCGAATTCACTGTTAAAATTATGTATTTTTTTTATTATAATTACGAAATAGAATACTTTAACAATAACTATGAAATATTTATAAATATTCATAGTATATTGAACTTCATATAAAAACAGCAATAATGATCAGAAATGAACAAACTTTATACAGTTTATGATTATTTATCATACAATGAGTGAGTAAAAATATCAACTTTTGAAAGAATATTACTACATATTGTGTTTTTTTTTACATAAATAATGTTAATTAGGAAAGTAAAAAATTAGACAAACAAATGAATGAATGAATTTCTGCTAGAACTAAAAAGATCTTTCATCTTATCAGTTGTTTTTTGAACTCCGCCTGGAGCCCTTCCGGGGTCTACTGCCGGTCCCAAGCCCGGATAAAGGAGGAGGGTTGGGTATGGGGTTAGTGACCCCATCCCGCAGAAAACTAACTCGTTAAAGTATGTTTTTTTTTATTTAAAAAAAGTCAATAATTATGAGAACCAATTTGAAAGGAAAATTTAATTTCTTATTGCTGTCATGGATCAATCAGTTAATTTATTTTATTTCTTCATTGTTAACTATACTGACTTGTCATTTAAAATGAAACATGCCTGAAAAAATAATTATTTCGGATATTTTCTATTTAAGCACTAAAAACACGAAGTTCAGAGAAGGGATCTCCTTTTTCAATGAATTTATTATCAAGCTGTACAATCGTATACATATATATATGAAAATTTCTTGTTCAAGTACTAGTTCAGTGAAGAAATGTAAACAAGGAATAGCTAAGATGATGTAATGGAGAGATTATAATACTAGATTACGCAATACGAATAATAACAATAGACTTAATAAGGTAGTAACGAATTACAATGTAAATTTGGTAAGATGATTGAAATGTTTTCATTACAGTCATTCTATTGATCCACAGATTGATTTTAACGTCGTATATACGATTCGTCCAAATCTATCCAACTATTAAAAATAGCCGAAGCTCTTACCATCCATGAGCTCAAGCCAGAACAATGTGTACAAAAGAAGTATGTTCTATCATTATCGTTACATATATACTTACGCCTGTTACTCCTCGTGAAGGAGCAAAGGTCGCCCACCAGCACTCTCCATCCAACCCCGTCCTGGGAAACCATTTCCAGTTGATATTCATCCTTTTCATATCTGCTTCCAATTCCCGGCATAGTGTGTCCTTCTGCCTTCCTCTTTTCCGCTTCCCTTCGGGATTCCGATTTAGGACTTGCCTCGCGATGCTGTTTTGTGATTTCCGTAATGTATGTCCTATCCATTTCCATCGTCTTTTCCCAATTTCCTCTTCAGCTGGAAGCTGGTTTGTTCTCTCCCACAGTAGACTGTTGCTGATGGTATCCGGCCAACGGATGTTGAGTATCTTGAGTAGAAAACTATTTATAAATACTCGCACCTTCTTGATGATGGCTGTGGTAGTTCTCCAAGTTTTAGCTCCGTAAAGTAGAACTGTCTTGAAGCTCCTAATGAAGATTCTGACTTTGATATTGACTTCCATATAGTTGTTTCGTAGTTCCATATGTTTTTCAAACGTAGGAATGTTGTTCTTACTTTGCCAATCCTTGCCTTTACTTCTGCATCCGATTTTCCTTGTTCATCGATGATGCTGACCAGTCAGTCACGTGAAATTTCACACCTCTTACACAGTTTTTCCATCAAGTGTGGTTGGATTGGTGTTCTCTGTGTTACATTTGAGGATCTTGCTTTTTGCTTTGTGTATGTTGAGGCCTACTGATCCAGAGGCTGTTGCTACACTAGTTTTTTTTATCTGCATTTGTTCGTATGTACGAGATAGGAATCCTAGGTCATATGCAAAGTCCAAATTGTCTAATTGGTTCTGATCTGTCGATTGTATTCCGTGCTATTCCTTAGATGTCGAGGTCTTCATAATCCAGTCAACCACCAGAAGAAAGAGGAAGGGGGAGAGTAGACAGGCTTATCTCACTCCAGTCCTTACTTAGAATGCATCTGTCAACTGTCCTCCATGCACGACTTTGCACTGTAGTCCGTCGTACGAATTCCGTGTGATGTTGACAATCCTCTCAGGAACTCCGTAGTGTCGAAGAAGTTTCCATAATGTTCTCCTATCTACACTGTCAAACGCCTTCTCATAGTCAATGAAGTTGATGTTTGGTGACGAGTTCCACTCAAATGGTTGTTCGACGATGATCCATAGTGTCGCGATTTGGTCTGTGCACAACCGATCCTTACAGAATCCAGCCTGTTGATCTCGAAGTTGGGCGTCTACTGCATCTTTCACCCGGTTCAGCAACACTGTTGAAACCTTTTACTGGTACAGATAGTAGTGTGATACCTCTATATTTTTCACATTTGCCCAGATCTTTCTTAGGAATCTTGATGAGATATTCTTCTTTCCAGTCCGTCGTCACTTGTTCTTCCTCCTAAATATTCTTGAATAAAATGCGGAACTTCTTTGCAGTTACTTCTGTATAACTTAAGTGATTCGGTTGGTATATTGTCTGGTTCTCACCCTTGATTTGTCCTATGGCCATCCTGATTTATTCGGTCGTTGGTGGAGTGACGGCTATAGGACGGTCTGTAGGCGGTGCTTCGATGTCCGGTGGGTTCAATGAGACTGGCCTATTCAAGGGTCCCTCGAAGTATTTCACCTATCTGTTCCTCTGTCCCTGAATCTAAGCGATTGGCTTACTTTCATTGTCCATGACCGGTCTCTCTGGTTTACTATATTTCCCTGCTAGTTTCCTCATTGTATCATATAGCTGTCTCATATTTCCTTCACTTACAGCTTTTTCCGCTGTTGTTACTAGGTATTCCACATATTTTTGCTGATTCCGAGCATCGTCGAAATTGTATCTCCTCATTTTCGTTGCTATTTGACTGGTCCTCGCGGTCTCCCATATTATCCTGACATTCCATTTACTTATAAGAATTGTTTCTATGTTTGTTAGAAGGAGCACCAGCCCTGTGTCTTCCGAAGGATCTCAACTTTCATCATGAGCCGTCACAATTTTCATGAATGACGACCCTTGAACTCGGAGGGCGGAATTTAAGTGGTTTAATAGTTTAAATTGTTTAAAATGGTTGGCGTTTTTTGGCAAGTTTGTTTTCTACGGGATGAGGTTGCTGACCCCATGCACAACCCTCCTCTCTTCCCCGTTCTTCGGACTGGCAGTAGCTCTAGAAAAGCAATAAGCATTGTTTTTAGAGTTGCTAGTCTCTTGTTTCTCTGTCCCAGTCAACCAACAAAGGGGAAACACACCAATATGTCTGCTTTTTCGCCTGTTGGGGGGAAATAATGCGGATTTCCCCCTTTTTGCCGCTCTGTCTCTCAAATGTCGCTGAATTGTCTACTTTTCGTCGAAATACACGCTAAATTGTCTACTTTTCCTCCAACTTTTAAAACACCATTAGCATAACTCCAAAGGTCTCCTATGTTCCCCTTTATTCCCACAACACACCACACTAAAACTACAATCCACATGAAAAATGGTATATGTTTAAATAAATTTATTGAAAATAAACAGCGTATTATTATACAACAATACAGCAGGAGCTTGAGCAACAATCGTCATGCATTTTCATTGTAATTATCAATTCATTGTTATTTGAAAAGATCTGCAAACGAAGAAACAGGTAATGTATTATTAATAAGGCACGTGTATTTGAATAAGAAAAAGAGAATTCAGCGAAGAAAATTTTCTCTTCGACGAAATCATTTACTTAAACTGTACATTCGTATATATAGTTATATGGGAAATGTATGTTTATATGAGGATAGAAAAAATTGCATCGCCAAAATGGATCCGAGGATAAATAACAAATGAGGTTACGTACTAATCAATGACACTATGGGTTATTTTAAGCATGTATATTTAATTGCAAGTTCACTGAAAATCAAACAAACTTTCTCAACACCTGAATAAAGTTTCTCATGTATCGTATTGGACTAACAAGGTAATTAGTTATAATGAACATGAAAAACGGAGAGCACGTCACTCACTTGCATCACGTTAGTTATTTGTGATGGCTACTAAGCATATCGGAACACTTTAGCTAAACAAAAAACAAAGTCAGTTTATATGTGTCTCATCCAAATCCTTGTGTCCGTATTTTGTAACTTGTGTTAATGACAATAGTTTTGTGTGTTTATTAAACAGTGCGTTATTTTATGGACTTTTGTGAAAATATAAGTACGGGATGCGGCATATTCAAACACGGTACGTTACGTATAGTTGCCGACTAATTTTCCCCGAATACACGAAGTAAGGGGGGGAAATCGACATTTCCCCTCTATTTACGCTTCCGTCCCCTTTGTTCACCTTTATTTCCGCTTTATTGGTTGTTTGGGGTTTATTCTCTTCCCGATTTTCTCACTAAGAGACGGAATATTCCTACCAGACTTTCCTGTTTATGTCTTTTGAGAAAAAAATACTGTCAACTGGACGCAAACTCATAGGTGAATATATTAACAGTTGCATACCACATACTTCCAAATTTATACAGAGGTAATTGAAAATTTTAGCGATGTTTTACGGATAATTCCAAATGTTTTTGAGAAACACTTAGTAAAATTTAGAGT